AATCTTTCTGGGGGAGGAGGACCCCAATCACGATGGCAAATCCCACTCCAAGCTTTCTTCAAAAGTTGGCAGCCCTGTTTATTTAAGCAATAAGGCATCAGGAGGCCCAATAAGCAAACACTAGGCCCTTCATGGACTGTGTTTGACACCACTGGTCTAAGATAAAAGAGGAATTAGCTGACAAGGCCATATGAGCGGGCCCTAAAGCTCAGAATAGGGTAATGAAAGGACAAGTTAAGACAGAGGGAAAGAAAGGAACAGATTGTGAACCAAAAGTTCGACCTAAGCACAATTTAGAAGGAGTAAGTCTAAGAAAAGAGATTTTTGATGATCTTGACTTCCAAACTGACGAAATAGCCCAACTGCAAGAAGGGTAGGCAGGATGCACATTGACCAAGCTGTTGAGAAAAAACAGAAGGGGAAGTATCTTGTTTTTGTATAACCTGTGACCGCACACACACATACACAAACACACACACACACATACACAAACACACGCGCACATGCGTTGCATTACAACACTCACAATATTTGCATACGGCCCATCCACTGTACAGTGCATCAATAACCTGTCAGCATTATATCCTCCAATCAAATAACAATACTGGTATGACGGCCAAGGGAGAAGTCTTTTAGGGCCTCCCCTGTTTCAAAGTTGATAAAAATGGTGTGATAGCTTACTGAGGAATTAGAAGGAATGCGTTTCCATACGCTGAAGAAAGCTGTACTGATGTCAAGCTGCTAATAAAAGTATTGCTGTCCTAAAGAAGTTCAGTTCAAAATGTACATACATAGAGAACCCAGATTGAAAGATACCACCCCTAATGCCTAGCCTGGAATGCAAATTGACAATTGCTCAGTTTCACTATTATTGAAGTGAAACAAGTAAAACGGTACTATATTCAGAGTGGATCCCAGGCTGCCTAATGATGTATAGTATAGTATTAGCCAGAACTTATTTTCACAATTTCACTAATATTGTCAAAATCAATAAATCATAGCACATTTTATGGGCTCATTCAATATATTTTACCTGATTAAGTAGAATCCTGTATTAGAAAAATTATGTTAAAAGTACCATTTATATTCCTAGAACATAGGTTGAAAATGATACTGTTGCTGCTTCCTGTTGTCATAGATTTTGGATTTATAGCCAAATGTCAAAATACCCGTTTTAAATGTCCAAATTCATAATCAATATTCTGAAATAAGTCTTGATATTTTGAAGACCAAGACATAAAAATGTGTTATACACACGTGTCTCACTTGTGTTCAGATAACTTGCATTTTGCTAAATTAGCACCTTAGAAACTGCTCACTCATCAACATTTACCAAGCGGCCACTCCAGACTGAAATGGATTAGCTTGTTCTACTGTATCCAATAGCGTGCGCAGATTAATCACTCACATCGATATTGTATGGAAATCAATAGAATTTGACAATTCGCTGCCGCTACAGGTGCCAGTTGTGCACTTCTAAGAGACAAACCACAACGAACTTGGGTAAACTACATATGCCTGTCGATACATGAGAACCTGTAGTAGCCATTTATCAACGAGTGGTTAAGAGCGTTGGGCCAGCAACAAAAAAGTCGCTGGTTCAAATCCCTGAGCCGACTATGTGAAACATCTGTCTAAGTGCCCTTGAGCAAGGCACTTAACCCTAATTGCTCCTGTAAGTTGATCTGTATAAGAGCGTCTGCTAAATTACTCAAATGCAAATTATGTGTAGGCCTAACAACGTGCGCAATGATGTGCCAAATATTACATTTAGTGCATAGCCTAAGCATTAGAAGAAGCCGCCTCAATATTTGCAGCCATGGGTGATCATTTCTCTCTAGGAGCTTATATGTCGTCAGTATCTAATGTTAAGGTAAGATTATAATTGAGAAAGCTGATCCGAGAGCAGCGCTGCCTTTCTTTCAATCTTAATCAGTATCACCACATGCTCTAACGATGTGCACTTATTGAAAGTTCTCCCGACGTGGTGTTTTTGGGGGAAAAGCATTCGAAGTTCTTCGGCTGTTATTAGAAACGATGCATCGTAAGCTTAAGTTCCATCGCTATGGGAAACCGGGCCCTGGCTATTACTTCATAGACATGGCTATTTGCATTTATGCAAAACGTATGGATTCTCCCTTTAAAGAGGGGAGGGGGGGTGAATATCAACAGCTGCTTCACATTAAACACATACCAGTTCCTGGAAGTGACTCTCAAAGTATGGAATAAGAGTGAGCATTTGGAAAGAAAATCCCCCCAAAATCCGGGGGAGTACCCCCAGACCCCCCTCCAGTTTTTTGCTTGTTGATGGCTACTTCCCACTAAGGGAAGTAGCCATCAACCAGCCTTATTTTTTTGGTGCGGTCCAGACTGGCCTTGATTTCATCGTCCATGGGACGGGACTCTAAAAACACTGCAACGAAAAAGTCGCAGTTGTATCAAAGTGGCGTGTTTTTTTTAGGGAATCTCATCCCCAGATGTAGATTTTTGGTTCGGTCCGGACCAAATCTGAACCAATCGTAGACGTCTATGTTTCGGTTTAGATTTGGTCCGGTCCCCGTTCCATGTAATCGATCTATTCCAGAGCTAGCACAACTGATTCAACTGGTCAACTCATCCTCGAGCTCCCGAATCTCACCTAGCTGTTGTAAGATGAATGAACTGACTGTAAGAGCATCTGCTAAATGACTAAAATGTTAAAATAGAGCAAAGCAGTGTGCAGTACATAACAGTACAATAAATTAAAAGTAGAGAAAGTATTTTCTACATTCATTCAGAACAGAAAATTAACCTGATTCCAACGTCCGAAAAGATGTACTTTCAATATCCGGAAAATGCGTATTTTCAACATCCGGAAAATACGTATTTTAAACTACCTGAAAATACGTATTTTCACCATTCATTCAGAATCTAAAATGAACCTAACTTCAACATCTGGAAAATACGTAATTTTGCTTACTGGGTTCAGACTTTTGGGATCACACTGAAAAGTAACTTGACATTGTTGATCAGTCAGTGCAAATTTGGATAAAAATGGCACAAAGAACATTGCATTGACAGAGGAGGGAGTGTACTGAATTAATGCATCATAAGGTAAGGGATGGAATTTCTTCTGGATACTCGAACAGCAATGTGTCTGTCTTGTGTGTTGATCTAGCTAATTAGCTAGCTAGGTAGCATGTGTACACTCATTGCAATGCACAGACGATATTTAATATTTAAATCCATGTATTTGTTTGTGGCCAGTGGCTTTTATAACGAGAGCGCCCCAATTTTCCCTTGCCATAAGAGTTTGAAAATGACAACTGCTTTCTAAGTCTTGCGACCGATATGCGTATATGATAAAATCAACGGTAGCAAACTGTGGGAAATTATTCTCTTATATTTTAGATGTGCTGTTAGCTTAATAAGAAAGCATTAATGATTAAACATAATAGGTTTGTGCTGTACTGATATAGACTGTTTAACATAACAAGCTGTGATTCATGTGAGGAGCTGTTAGGGAGTAGGGGGAGATAAGACTTGTGTCTCACACAGACACAAACACTGCCTCTTTGTTAGAACGCCCAAGGACATGTGTTCTGCTACAAACTGTGTCTATGGGTGCTGACTCGGGACAAGCTGCAGATAACAACTTATGCCTGGCAACAGTGAAGCGCCAAAGGGCTGTTACAAGCCTGTGCGCCAACGATAGGCTGAGTAAGTCTAAACCACGCTCAGTCTCTACTCTGATAGGCCAGCAGGGAGCAGGAACTATCTCTGTCAGAGTATTTTAAAGAAGAACTTATAACAATGAACCAGTTCTCTGTATGCCCTGCGTGGTATTTCAGTGGACCCGTATATACGAACATCATATCCATATTACCATTGAAGTGTTTTGCATTAATTAAAATCCTAGTCTATTTTAGAAGACGTGTATTGACCTCTTTTTGTTCCAATACCAGATTTGAATTGACGCAAATTAACAAAATCAAAGACATTAATCTGTTTAAAGCAATCGATTTAGTGTCATCTTGAGTATAAACTTTTATATTAACATCACCAATCTGAGGAATAATGATGAGTACTGTAACTTCACTCAATTGATTGAGGTGAAAATGGGAGCTTGTGTGTCCACATTAGGGAAATTGGCGGATTTTAAAATAATTTAATAAGGCAAAAATAATTCCATTTTGGATGATAGTTTATGTTCCCACTCACATTTAAACATTCAAACATTCAAACATTTAGAGAGTTTATAAAACGCTCTCAGGCATCATTTAACTGGTAACTCCAGAGTAGAGCTTCCATAGTCTGCCTGAACGTTTGACGTCCCTAATAGTATAGTTATCTTTACAATTCAAATGGTAAAAGGGACCCATGCCTGTCACTGTTATATGAGAGACTCACTGTCTCCTAATCTAAATGCTGCAACAGTGACAAGGCATTCAACGTGAGAGAGAAGGACTGAGGCAAAATAAAGCCTAATTGCTCAACTGACTGGGTTTCTAATGAGAACATGACATGAGACCTAGGGGGGGGGGGGGGGGGATGGAAATGTTCTATAGCAACAATATAAACAATGTGCTGCATGTCCTAAAAAATTAGACAATTTAATACTGTTAGTGTTTCGCAGTTTGGTGAAAGTCTTTCTATTCTAAATACATGAGTAATGTACTATAGAGCAAGTGTGGATAATCCCAGCAGAATCTTAGAAATACCTTTTCTCCTACGTGGGTTTACAAGTTTATCAACTTTCAAAGCAGCATAATGTTCCCATTTTTTGAACTTTATTAATAAACTGTAAAAAAAAAAAATATATATATATATATTTTTTTTTTGGGGGAGGGATTTTTGACGTGTTGAGTCACGTGTTGTAATCAGACTTTAGCCTAGTCAAATATTGTAACATGGCAAATAAGCCATTGAGTCATTGTCACCAGCTCAAACCACCGCTCCATTTTACTTACATGCACACCAGTGCAACATATTTGGATTAATCCATTTAACTGTGACGGACCATGGTAAGAATGTTTTTTCATTACCTTTGTTATTTTGTATTCATATTCTAATGTGACACTGGGGGTCTGAGAAATGTACTGTTTATGTGTGCTTATTTGGCATACTATTATACAGTATTTGACAATTTTTTTGTCTCAAGTGTTTTTAAATGACAAGCTTTAGTACATAGTGAACATGTACAACCATCATATTTTCTGAATGTAGACCTAAAGCAGTGCAAGGTACATACACAGTACTTGAGCATATATGTAAAGATAACTGAGGAAATCTATACACAGAGAGAGGAAAATGCCTCCAGCACAATGAATATCTTGGATATTGATGACGACATGTACGTCAAGTCCAGAACAAGAGATGGCTTTCAATATTCAGGTATCAACGCACACAAACACACACACACACACACAGTGTCAGTGTTTGAGTCTCATGGGGGTGGGGTTGTGTTGAAAGCTAATAATGCATTTCTGTGATATAAAATTAAATTAAACAATAAATGTTGGTGCAAAGATTGTATGAAAATATCTTGTGATTCAGTATATTTTCAGTGGTGGAAGAGAACATTCGGAGTTGCTGCATTGTGTCTTGGATTGTTGTGTATTCTCCTACTGGCTGGGATCATAGGCCTGTGTGTACACTGTAAGTTTAGTGTGTTTTTACTGAAGCATTCTTAATAATCAGTGACATAATCATTGATTAATATTTTAACTGTTCCCTTAGTCACTGGTCAGCATTACTGTGACGAAAGAGACCAGTTACAGACCAGCTACAACAACCTGACTAAAGAGAGAGACCAGCTACAGAGGGAGACAGAAATGCTGAACAACAAGATCAAAGGTACAATTTAACCCACACTTCAATAGAATTCATGCTTTGTTTTTGATGTAACTTCACTAGAAAGTAATTTTCAATGAAGAACAATTGTGTGACTTCCTTCCGCTCTTTAAAAGTATGTTTGTGGTAGTTGAAGTTTAAAACATTTTACTTAAGTGAAGCAGTGAAATATAGTCAAAGTTAAATATATTAAAATATCTGGTCTTATTACTTTGATAGACTATTATATCAACCTTATTACTTTGGAGTGTGGGGCAGTTAGATTACATCTTTCATCACAAATAACTACATTCCAAATAATACACTTTTACTTATAAAGAATTATAAATATTTTTGGCTATTATTTGGGGAGAGAAATATGATGTTGCTTAGTGGAAGTAGTTTAAACGTTTGTTAGTGGAAGAATTGAGGCCGGTGTAGTGGAGGGAGTGACTGCTCGTTAAATAGTTGATAGTAGCCTTTTGCGGGAGACTAGGTAGTAGTAGTAAGTAGCCCAGAAGAACTAGTAGCAGTACATTGCAAAAGTAACAGTGAATGTTTTAGATAGGTAGGCCATGGGTCGCTATTGTAGTTTGGTTAGTGAGTGTAGGTTTTGTTATAGTGGGTTAGTTTAGTGGGTAGGGGTTAGTTGTGTGACATAATCAGTCTTATGTGCTCCCGCAGTGCTATAACTTGATTGGTCAAATATATTTCTGTTCTGATTTCAGATTTCATATGCTCTAAGTTTTTGTCCAAGTTGTTGGGAAAGTGGTCAACATTTCAAATGTTTGTAAAAGTTAAGAGAAAGCAGTTAATGTTGTTACTAAAACAGCAGTATCTCACGGTACAGGTACGCTAGCATTTGCTACAGTACCTGTAGACTTACAGTCATTTGACTAACGCTAGTTAGCATTGGCTCGCGAAACTACCTCCAACTTCCTTCTGGACGCAGAGACATAAAACTGGTTTCCATGAGTTCATCTGACTCTGGGGAAGTAGAAAAAGGGCTTCATTCCCTTAAACAGTGTCAGAGGAGTAGCGTTCTAAAGAATAATGAGTCAGACATATTTAAAGTGAAACTATTGCTGTCGCAAGCCACAAAAATTAGCATAACATTTTAAGGACTCAATGCCAACGATACACATTTTAAATGCTACTGCACTTTAACCATTCCAGCTACAAATATAAAAACAACTTAAAACATTTCCAAATCTTTATAAATTATAACTATTTAAAGTAGCATAAATTAGCATTTACATGAAAACACCCCCAACAGTATTAGTAACTCTTGAACACTTCAAGCTACAGACACCAAATCAATGATCACGTGTTCAGGATATAAATCAATCAATCACTCAATGAATCAACCTACTTTTTCAATAATAACCAGTCACTACCATTACTACTGCAGTCACTATCACTACTATAACTTATTTCACAACCATAAATACAAGCTAGCAAGCAAACACATTTAAATTAGGAAATGTACTTTTTCAAGTTTCTGTGTTCTCAGTTTGTCCTGAGGTAGCCTCCTCTACCTCCTTGGTGTCAGCTGGTGAAGTATTCAGAGGGCCCTCAGTCAATAGGGCCCTAGTCTTCAAAAAGTCCTGTCAACCACAGGCTACGCTTACAACAATCAAACAGGTACTTTCTGTATTCAAACATTCTTCTCTATGTCCGTGTAGTAAATTTGGCGTTGAATGGCGTGGCCGCTCAGTCATCACTGTATGGGAATCGCGAAGCTTACGATGCCATTGATGGGAAAAAAAGCACACACTATGGATCCTGCACTCACACTCAGAAAGACAGCAACCCGTGGTGGAGAGTGGACCTGCTGGATGTGTACAGAGTAACAGCGGTCACCCTCACCAACAGAGGAGACTGCTGTCCTGAGAGGCTTGATGGTGCTGAGATCCGCATCGGTAACTCACTGGAGGACAACGGCATCAACAACCCCAGGTGACACATATAGACGTCTGTACATTTTTATGTCCTGTCTTGAAGGTATTCCGATACATTGGTCTTCATCCATGCTTCTGTAGCTATTCTGTGGCTATATATATTTAACAGAGTCAGAATCTGTATGGTACATTGTAGAGCGTCTTAATTCACTCTCATTACATCATCTCTTTCTCTCTCCATCTTTCTGACTCTCTCTCTCTCAGATGTGTCGTCATCTCCCACATCCCAGCAGGAGAGGCCCATACCTTCCAGTGTAATGAGATGGAGGGTCGATACGTCGTTGTGGTCATCCCCGGCAGGTCGGAATGGCTCACTCTGTGTGAGTTGGAAGTATATGGTACTCCTGCAGGTAATCATCTGTAACTGTCTTCACTGTTCGCATTCATCATCAAGTCAGGTTTACATTACTTTTATACACTGAGTGTACAGAACATTAAGAACACCTGCTCTTTCCATGACATAGACTGACCAGGTGAATCCAGGTGAAAGCCATGGTCCTTTATTTGATGGCACGTGTTAAATCCACTTCAATCAGTGTAGTTGAAAGGGAAGAGACAGGTTACAGAAGGATTGTTAAGCCTTCAGACAATTGAGACATGGATTGTGTATGTGTGACATTCAGAGTGTGAATGGGCAAGACAAAATATGTAAGTGCCTTTGAAAGGGGTATGGTATTAGGTGCCAGGCACACCGATTTGTTTCAAGAACTGCGACGCTGCTGGGTTTATCACGCTCAATAGTTTCCCGTGTGTATCAAGAATGGTCCACCATCCAAAGGACATCCAGCCAACTTGACACAACAGTGGGAAACATTGTAGTCAACATGGGCCAGCATCCCTGTGGGACCTTGTAGAGTCCATGCTCCGAGGAATTGAAGCTGTCCTGTCCTGAGGGGAGAAGGGAGTTGGGGGGTGGGGGGGTGCAACTCAGTATTAAGAAGGTGTTCCTGATGTTTTGTTCACTCACTGTATATTAGAACATAGATGGTCTGGAGGTATAACTTCTGTTTTACTGTGTTGTTTTTACTGAAGCATTCTAAATCATCGTAGTCCCGTGTAGCTCAGTTGGTAGAGCATGGCGTTTGCAACGCCAGGGTTGTGGGTTCGATTCCCACACGGGGGGGCCAGTATGAAAAAAATTAAAATAATGTATGCACTCACTAACTGTAAGTCGCTCTGGATAAGAGCGTCTGCTAAATGACTAAAATGTAATCTTTGATTAACTGTTTTACTGTTCCATTAGTCACTGGTCAGCATTCCTGTGCAGAGAGAGACCACCTACAGACCAGCTACAACAACCTGACTAAAGAGAGAGACCAGCTACAGAGGGAGATAGAAAGGCTGAACAACAAAATCAAAGGTAACATTTCAATTCACTGTACTATTGGAAAGGACTGTCTGTATCACATAATATGCATGTGACAATTCTATATTATTTTAAGTAAATGTCATAACTTTTTTGTTCATTAGTTAATTTGAATCTTTCAATAGAATTTCCATTTTTGTTCCCTTACATGTTGTATTTCTACTGACTCTGTAACTAGAAAGTAATTTTCCATGCTAAAAAATTGTGTGACTTGCTTCCGCTCTTTAAAAGTATGTTTGTGGTAGTTGAAGTTTAAAACATTTTACTTAAGTGAAGCAGTGAAATATAGTCAAAGTTAAATATATTAAAATATCTGGTCTTATTACTTTGATAGACTATTATATCAACCTTATTACTTTGGAGTGTGGGGCAGTTAGATTACATCTTTCATCGCTAATAACTACATTCCGAATAATACACTTTTACTTATAAAGAATTATAAATATTTTTGGCTATTATTTGGGGAGAGAAATATGATGTTGCTTAGTGGAAGTAGTTTAAACGTTTGTTAGTGGAAGAATTGAGGCCGGTGTAGTGGAGGGAGTGACTGCTTGATAAATAGTTGATAGTAGCCTTTTGCGGGAGACTAGGTAGTAGTAGTAAGTAGCCCAGAAGAACTAGTAGCAGTACATTGCAAAAGCAATAGTGAATGTTTTAGACAGGTAGGCCATGGGTCGCTATTGTAGTTTGGTTAGTGAGTGTAGGTTTTGTTATAGTGGGTTAGTTTAGTGGGTAGGGGTTAGTTGTGTGACATAATCAGTCTTATGTGCTCCCGCAGTGCTATAACTTGATTGGTAGAATATATTTCTGTTCTGATTTCAGATTTCATATGCTCTAAGTTTTTGTCCAAGTTGTTGGGAAAGTGGTCAACATTTCAAATGTTTGTAAAAGTTAAGAGAAAGCAGTTGATGTGGTTACTAAAACAGCAGTATCTCAAGGTACAGGTACGCTAGCATTTGCTACAGTACCTGTAGACTTACAGTCATTTGACTAACGCTAGTTAGCATTGGCTCGCGAAACTACCTCCAACTTCCTTCTGGACGCAGAGACATAAAACTAGTTTCCATGAGTTCATCTGACTCTGGGGAAGTAGAAAAAGGGCTTCATTCCCTTAAACAGTGTCAGAGGAGTAGCTTTCTAAAGAATAATGAGTCAGACATATTTAAAGTGAAACTATTGCTGTCGCAAGCCACAATAATTAGCATAACATTTTAAGGACTCAATGCCAACGATACACATTTTAAATGCTACTGCACTTTAACCATTCCAGCTACAAATATAAAAACAACTTAAAACATTTCCAAATCTTTATAAATTATAACTATTTAAAGTTGCAAACATTTACATGAAAACACCCCCAACAGTATTAGTAACTATTGAACCCTTCAAGCTACAGACACCAAATCAATTACCACGTGTTCAGGATATAAATCAATCAATCACTCAATTAATCAACATACTTTTTCAATTATAACCATTCACTACCATTACTACTGCAGTCACTATCACTACTATAACTTATTTCACAACCATAAATACAAGCTAGCAAGCACACACATTTAAATTAGGAAATGTACTTTTTCTAGTTTCTGTGTTCTCAGTTTGTCCTGAGGTAGCCTCCTCTACCTCCTTGGTGTCAGCTGGTGAAGTATTCAGAGGGCCCTCAGTCAATAGGGCCCTAGTCTTCAAGAAGTCCTGTCAACCACAGGCTACGCTTACAACAATCAAACGGGTACTTTCTGTATTCAAACATTCTTCTCTATGTCCGTGTAGTAAATTTGGCGTTGAATGGCGTGGCCGCTCAGTCATCACTGTATGAGAATCACGAAGCTTACGAAGCCATTGATGGGAAAAAAAGCACACACCATGGATCCTGCACTCACACTCAGAAAGACAGCAACCCGTGGTGGAGAGTGGACCTGCTGGATGTGTACAGAGTAACAGCGGTCACCCTCACCAACAGAGGAGACTGCTGTCCTGAGAGGCTTGATGGTGCTGAGATCCGCATCGGTAACTCACTGGAGGACAACGGCATCAACAACCCCAGGTGACACATATAGACGTCTGTACATTTTTATGTCCTGTCTTGAAGGTATTCCGATACATTGGTCTTCATCCATGCTTCTGTAGCTATTCTGTGGCTGTATATTTAACAGAGTCAGAATCTGTATGGTACATTGTAGAGCGTCTTAATTCACTCTCATTACATCTCTTTCTCTCTCCATCTTTCTGACTCTCTCTCTCAGATGTGTCGTCATCTCCCACATCCCAGCAGGAGAGGCCCATACCTTCCAGTGTAATGAGATGGAGGGTCGATACGTCGTTGTGGTCATCCCCGGCAGGTCGGAATGGCTCACTCTGTGTGAGTTGGAAGTATATGGTACTCCTGCAGGTAATCATCTGTAACTGTCTTCACTGTTCGCATTCATCATCAAGTCAGGTTTACATTACTTTTATACACTGAGTGTACAGAACATTAAGAACACCTGCTCTTTCCATGACATAGACTGACCAGGTGAATCCAGGTGAAAGCCATGATCCCTTATCTGATGTCACGTGTTAAATCCACTTCAATCAGTGTAGTTGAAAGGGAAGAGACAGGTTACAGAAGGATTGTTAAGCCTTCAGACAATTGAGACATGGATTGTGTATGTGTGACATTCAGAGGGTGAATGGGCAAGACAAAATATGTAAGTGCCTTTGAAAGGGGTATGGTATTAGGTGCCAGGCACACCGATTTGTTTCAAGAACTGCAACGCTGCTGGGTTTATCACGCTCAATAGTTTCCCGTGTGTATCAAGAATGGTCCACCATCCAAAGGACATCCAGCCAACTTGACACAACAGTGGGAAACATTGGAGTCAACATGGGCCAGCATCCCTGTGGTACCTTGTAGAGTCCATGCTCCGAGGAATTGAAGCTGTCCAGAGGGGAGAAGGGAGTTGGGGGGGGGGGGGTTGGGGGGGGTTCGTATGAGTTGGGGGGGGGGGGGTTGTGGGTTCGATTCCCACGGGGGGGCCAGTATGAAAAAAATAAAAACAATGTATGCACTCACTAACTGTAAGTCGCTCTGGATAAGAGCGTCTGCTAAATGACTAAAATGTAATCTTTGATTAACTTTTTTACTGTTCCATTAGTCACTGGTCAGCATTCCTGTGCAGAGAGAGACCAGCTACAGACCAGCTACAACAACCTGACTAAAGAGAGAGACCAGCTACAGACCAGCTACAACAACCTGTCTAAAGAGAGAGACCAGCTACAGAGGGAGACAGAAAGGCTGAACAACAAAATCAAAGGTAACATTTCAATTCACTGTACTATTGGAAAGGACTGTCTGTATCACATAATATGCATGTGACAATTCTATATTATTTTAAGTAAATGTCATAACTTTTTTGTTCATTAGTTAATTTGAATCTTTCAATAGAATTTCCATTTTTGTTCCCTTACATGTTGTATTTCTACTGACTCTGTAACTAGAAAGTAATTTTCCATGCTAAAAAATTGTGTGACTTGCTTCCGCTCTTTAAAAGTATGTTTGTGGTAGTTGAAGTTTAAAACATTTTACTTAAGTGAAGCAGTGAAATATAGTCAAAGTTAAATATATTAAAATATCTGGTCTTATTACTTTGATAGACTATTATATCAACCTTATTACTTTGGAGTGTGAGGCAGTTAGATTACATCTTTCATCGCTAATAACTACATTCCGAATAATACACTTTTACTTATAAAGAATTATAAATATTTTTGGCTATTATTTGGGGAGAGAAATATGATGTTGCTTAGTGGAAGTAGTTTAAACGTTTGTTAGTGGAAGAATTGAGGCCGGTGTAGTGGCGGGAGTGACTGCTTGATAAATAGTTGATAGTAGCCTTTTGCGGGAGACTAGGTAGTAGTAGTAAGTAGCCCAGAAGAACTAGTAGCAGTACATTGCAAAAGCAATAGTGAATGTTTTAGACAGGTAGGCCATGGGTCGCTATTGTAGTTTGGTTAGTGAGTGTAGGTTTTGTTATAGTGGGTTAGTTTAGTGGGTAGGGGTTAGTTGTGTGACATAATCAGTCTTATGTGCTCCCGCAGTGCTATAACTTGATTGGTAGAATATATTTCTGTTCTGATTTCAGATTTCATATGCTCTAAGTTTTTGTCCAAGTTGTTGGGAAAGTGGTCAACATTTCAAATGTTTGTAAAAGTTAAGAGAAAGCAGTTGATGTGGTTACTAAAACAGCAGTATCTCAAGGTACAGGTACGCTAGCATTTGCTACAGTACCTGTAGACTTACAGTCATTTGACTAACGCTAGTTAGCATTGGCTCGCGAAACTACCTCCAACTTCCTTCTGGACGCAGAGACATAAAACTAGTTTCCATGAGTTCATCTGACTCTGGGGAAGTAGAAAAAGGGCTTCATTCCCTTAAACAGTGTCAGAGGAGTAGCTTTCTAAAGAATAATGAGTCAGACATATTTAAAGTGAAACTATTGCTGTCGCAAGCCACAATAATTAGCATAACATTTTAAGGACTCAATGCCAACGATACACATTTTAAATGCTACTGCACTTTAACCATTCCAGCTACAAATATAAAAACAACTTAAAACATTTCCAAATCTTTATAAATTATAACTATTTAAAGTTGCAAACATTTACATGAAAACACCCCCAACAGTATTAGTAACTATTGAACACTTCAAGCTACAGACACCAAATCAATTACCACGTGTTCAGGATATAAATCAATCAATCACTCAATTAATCAACATACTTTTTCAATTATAACCATTCACTACCATTACTACTGCAGTCACTATCACTACTATAACTTATTTCACAACCATAAATACAAGCTAGCAAGCACACACATTTAAATTAGGAAATGTACTTTTTCTAGTTTCTGTGTTCTCAGTTTGTCCTGAGGTAGCCTCCTCTACCTCCTTGGTGTCAGCTGGTGAAGTATTCAGAGGGCCCTCAGTCAATAGGGCCCTAGTCTTCAAAAAGTCCTGTCAACCACAGGCTACGCTTACAACAATCAAACGGGTACTTTCTGTATTCAAACATTCTTCTCTATGTCCGTGTAGTAAATTTGGCGTTGAATGGCGTGGCCGCTCAGTCATCACTGTATGAGAATCACGAAGCTTACGAAGCCATTGATGGGAAAAAAAGCACACACCATGGATCCTGCACTCACACTCAGAAAGACAGCAACCCGTGGTGGAGAGTGGACCTGCTGGATGTGTACAGAGTAACAGCGGTCACCCTCACCAACAGAGGAGACTGCTGTCCTGAGAGGCTTGATGGTGCTGAGATCCGCATCGGTAACTCACTGGAGGACAACGGCATCAACAACCCCAGGTGACACATATAGACGTCTGTACATTTTTATGTCCTGTCTTGAAGGTATTCCGATACATTGGTCTTCATCCATGCTTCTGTAGCTATTCTGTGGCTATATATATTTAACAGAGTCAGAATCTGTATGGTACATTGTAGAGCGTCTTAATTCACTCTCATTACATCATCTCTTTCTCTCTCCCTCTTTCTCTCCATATCTCTCTCTCCATCTTTCTGACTCTCTCTCTCAGATGTGTCGTCATCTCCCACATCCCAGCAGGAGAGGCCCATACCTTCCAGTGTAATGAGATAGAGGGTCGATACGTCGTTGTGGTCATCCCCGGCAGGTCGGAATGGCTCACTCTGTGTGAGTTGGAAGTATATGGTACTCCTGCAGGTAATCATCTGTAACTGTCTTCACTGTTCGCATTCATCATCAAGTCAGGTTTACATTACTTTTATACACTGAGTGTACAGAACATTAAGAACACCTGCTCTTTCCATGACATAGACTGACCAGGTGAATCCAGGTGAAAGCCATGATCCTTTATTTGATGTCACGTGTTAAATCCACTTCAATCAGTGTAGTTGAAAGGGAAGAGACAGGTTACAGAAGGATTGTTAAGCCTTCAGACAATTGAGACATGGATTGTGTATGTGTGACATTCAGAGGGTGAATGGGCAAGACAAAATATGTAAGTGCCTTTGAAAGGGGTATGGTATTAGGTGCCAGGCACACCGATTTGTTTCAAGAACTGCAACGCTGCTGGGTTTATCACGCTCAATAGTTTCCCGTGTGTATCAAGAATGGTCCACCATCCAAAGGACATCCAGCCAACTTGACACAACAGTGGGAAACATTGTAGTCAACATGGGCCAGCATCCCTGTGGTACCTTGTAGAGTCCATGCCCTGAGGAATTGAAGCTGTCCTGTCCTGAGGGGAGAAGGGAGTGGGGGTGCAACTCAGTATTAAGAAGGTCTTCCTAATGTTTTGTTCACTCACTGTATATTAGAACATAGATGGTCTGGAGGTATAACTTCTGTATTACTGTGTTGTTTTTACTGAAGCATTCTAAATCATCAGTGATGTAATCATTGTTTAACTTTTTTACTGTTCCATTAGTCACTGGTCAGCATTCCTGTGCAGAGAGAGACCACCTACAGACCAGCTACAACAACCTGACTAAAGAGAGAGACCAGCTACAGACCAGCTACAACAACCTGACTAAAGAGAGAGACCAGCTACAGACCAGCTACAACAACCTGACTAAAGAGAGTGACCAGCTACAGACCAGCTACAACAACCTGTCTAAAGAGAGAGACCAGCTACAGAGGGAGATAGAAAGGCTGAACAACAAAATCAAAGGTAACATTTCAATTCACTGGACTATTGGAAAGGACTGTCTGTATCACATAATATGCATGTGACAATTCTATATTATTTTAAGTAAATGTCATAACTTTTTTCATTATTTGTTTATTTGGAAAAACATTTTGTTCCAGTTTTTGTTTCCTTACATGTTGCATTTTTCTATTGAATGGGACGTTTTTACCCGTGTAATAAATTAGATATTTCAAGTAAAAAGAAGAAAAGAAAAGTCCTGAACCTTTTCTTGATATTTCCAGGGAGACCCTGTCCTGAAGGATGGAAGAAATTTGGTTCCAGCTACTACTACACCTCCACCGTGATTAAAACCTGGGAGGAGAGCAGACAGGATTGCAACGAGAGAGGAGCAGACCTGGTGATCATAAACAGCAGAGAGGAACAGGTGTGTGTTTGTGTGTGTTTGTGTGTGTGTGTGTGTGTGTGTGTGTGTGTGTGTGTGTGTGTGTGTGTGTGTGTGTGTGTGTGTGTGTGTGTGTGTGTGTGTGTGTGTGTGTGTGTGTGCGTGTGTGCGTGCGTGTGTGTGTGTGTTTGTGCGTGCACGTGTGTTTGTGTGCAGTGGAGACTTTGTATTAACAATATTGTCTTTCTGCCGTAATAACAGACATTTATCAATGGGTTATACGGACCGGGGAATGAGACCTGGATCGGTCTGACTGACTTTGATACTGAGGGGACCTCCTGGAAATGGGTGGACGGCACACCGCTGACCACAGCGTAAGATATAGTTCTGTGTCAATTTGAATTGAGTGACTGGAGTAGGTTCTGAGAGAGTGGCCAGTCTGATTCTCTGTTGTTTATTCTGTAGGTATTGGAAGATTGGAAAGCCTAACAGCTATTTAGGGAAAGATCAGGACTGTGTGGAGTTTTTCCACCGTTCATCAGACCCAGGGGAGTGGAACGACGAGGAATGTCACAAGTCAAACAACTGGATCTGTGAGATATTGGATTCTCATACTCTCTGCACTGCTAACTACATGTAACTGCCAAAATAAAGGAAACATTTCAGTAAATGAGGGTTCTGGTGGCTCTGTTATGGTGTGGGGTGCATTTTCCGGCCATGGTTTAGGTCCACTCAACCCCTTAGAGGGCAAGGTAAACACCAATAGATACACAGCCATTCTGAGCGATCACCTTCAACCCATGGGGAATCATTTCTATCCTGATGGGAGTGATCTCTTCCAGGATGACAACGACCCCATCCACAGGGAACTAGTGGTCACTGAATGGTTTGATGAGCGTGAAAACAATGTAAACCATATGTCATGGCCGTCTCAGTCACCAGATCTCAACCCAATTGAACACTTATGGGAGATTCTACCTCTTTATATTAGTTTATATATCTGGTCTAGAAGGACAAGACACCTCTCTACCTCTTTATCTTAGTTTATCTATCATGGAGTCTAGAAGGACAAGACACCTCTCTACCCAAGTCCAGCTCATTTAATCCCTACCATTGTGTCACTGAGATGTCATAATGCTTCAGCAAATGTACATTATCCCAGGGGCATTGGAATACACAGTGTAAGTAACCCAATTTATGTCCCTCTTACTGCCCTTAATGCCTCTGCTGATCCTACAGCTATTGTATTCAGTAATCATATGCCTATGAACCAGTGTTCTACTGTTAGCACTGAGGTGGTGTGCCCTAGCAGGAAGTCCACTGTGTGCAGCTCACCCTGCACTAACATAAATAACTTGAGCATGTCTAACTCTGCTAAGCTTCCCAGTAAAGCAAGAAAAACAATCAAGCATCCTAGAAAAGTGTTACAAATAGCCCACATTAACATATGTAGCTTACGAAACAAGGTTCATGAAGTCAATCATTTGCTAAAAACAGATGGCATTCATTAAGTTTGCTGACGACACAACGGTGGTAGGCCTGATCACCGGCAACGATGTGACAGCCTATAGGGAGGAGGTCAGAGACATGGCAGTGTGGTTCCAAGACAACAACCATTCCCTCAACGTGAACAAGACAAAGGAGATGATCGTGGACTACAAGACAAGGAAGGCAGAACACGCCCCCATTCACATCAACAGGGCTGTCGTTGAGCGGGTCAAGAGTTTCAAGTTCCTTGGTGTCCACATCACCAACAAACTATCATGGTCCAAACACACCAAGAAAGTTGTGACGAGGGCACAACAACACCTTTTCCCCCCCAGGAGACTGAAAAGATTTGTCATGGGTCGCCAGATCCTCAAAAAGTTCTACAGCTGCACCATTGAGAGCATCCTGACCGGTTGCATCACTGCCAACTAATCGGCATCCGACCTTAAGACGCTACAGAGGGTAGTGCGTACGACCCAGTACATCACTGGGGCCAAGCTTCCTGCCATCCAGGACCTATATACTAGGCGGTGTCAGAAGAAGACCCAAAAAATGGTCAAAGACTCCAGTCACCCAAATCATACACTGTTCTCTCTGCTACCGCACGGCAAGTGGTACCCGAGCGCAAAGTCTAGGTCCAAAAGGCTCCTTAACAGCTTCTATCCCCAAGCCATAAGACTGCTGAACAATTAATAAAATTAACCATGGTTACCTGCAAGGGAACACGTGCCGTCATCATTGCTTTGCACAAAAAGGGCTTCACAGGCAAGGATATTGCTGCTAGTAAGATTGCACCTAAATCAACCATTTATCGGATCATCAAGAACTTCAAGCGGAGAGGTTCAATTGTTGTGAAGAAGGCATCAGGGCACCCAAGAAAGTCTGGAAAACACCTTGTCCAGAGAAGACAAGGTGAGCGCTACCATCAGTCCTGTGTCATGCCAACAGTAAAGCATCCTGAGACCATTCATGTGTGGGGTTGCTTCTCAGCCATGGGAGTGGGCTCACTCACAATTTTGCCTAAGAACACAGCCATGAATAAAGAATGGTACCATCACATCCTCCGAGAGCAACTTCTCCCAACCATCCAAGAACAGTTTGGTGACGACCAATGCCTTTTCCAGCATGATGGAGCACCTTGCCATAAGGCAAAAGTGATAACTAAGTGGCTCGGGGAACAAAACATTGACATTTTAGGTCCATGGCCAGGAAACTCCCCTTAATCCCATTGAGAACTTGTGGTCGATCCTCAAGAGGCGGGTGGAAAAACAAAATCCCTCAAATTCTGACAAACTCCAAGCATTGATTATGCAAGAATGGGCTGCCATCAGTCAGGATGTGACCCAGAAGTTAATTGACAGCATGCCAGGGCGGATTGCAGAGGTCTTGAAAAAGAAGTGTCAACACTGCAAATATTGATTATTTGCATAAACTTAATGTAATTGTCAATAAAAGCCTTTGACACTTATGGAATGCTTGTAATTATACTTCAGTATACCATAGTAACATCTGACAAAAATATCTCATAACACAAAAGCAGCGAACTTTGTGAAGACCAATACTTGTGTCATTCTCAAAACTTTTGACCACGACTGTACACCTGTTGTATTCGGTGCATGTGACAAATAAAATTTGAGTTGATGATTTGATTTGATTCATATTCTGACTATCTGAAACTCACTTAGATAATACCTTTGATGATGCAGTGGTAGCAATACAAGGTTATAACATTTACAGAAAAGACAGAAATGACAATGGTGGCGATGTTGCTGTTTATATTCAGAATCACATTCCTGTAAAGCTTAGAGAGGATCTCATGTTAAATACTGTTGAAGTAATATGGCTACAGGTTCATCTGCCTCACCTAAAGCCCATTCTGGTGGGAAGCTGCTATAGACCACCAAGTGCTAACAGTCAGTATCTGGATAACATGTGTGAAATGCTTGATAATGTATGTGATATCAATCGCGAGGAATATTTTCTGGGTGATTTAAATATTGACTGGCTTTCATCAGGCTGCCCACTCAAGAGAAAGCTTCAAACTGTAACTAGTGCCTGCAACCTGGTTCAGGTTATCAATCAACCTACCAGGGTAGTTACAAACAGCACAGGAATTAAATAATCAACATGTATTGATCACATCTTTACTAACGCTGCAGAAATTTGTTTGAAAGCAGTATCCAAATCCATCGGATGTAGTGATCAAAATATAGTAGCCATATCTAGGAAAACCAAAGTTCCAAAGGCTGGGCCTAATATTGTGTATAAGAGGTCATACAAGAAGTTCTGTAGTGATTCTTATATTGTTGAATAATATTTGTTGGTCTGTTGTGTGTAATGAGGAGCAACCAGACGCTGCACTTGACACATTTATGAAATTGCTTATCCCATTTACTAATAAGCATGCACCCACTAAGAAAATAACTGCAAAAACTGTTAAATCCCAGTGAATTGATGTGGAATTGAACAATTGTATGGTTGAGAGGGATGAGGCAAAATAAATGGCAAATAGGTCTGGCTGTACTACCGATTGGCAAACATACTGCAAATTGAGAAATCATGTGACTAAACTGAATAAAAAGAAGAAGAAACTCCACTATGAAACAAAGATAAATGACATAAAGAATGATAGGAAAAAGCTTTGGGGCACCTTAAATTACATTTTGGGCAAAAACGCAAACTCCGATTTATTGAATCATGACAAAACCCACTGATATTGCCAACTACTTTAATGTTTTTTTCATTGGGAAGATTAGCAAATGTAGGCATGACATACCAGCAACAAACGCTGACACTACACATCCAAGTATATCTGATCAAATTATGAAAGGCAAGCATTGTAATTTAGAATTTTGTAAAGTAAGTGTGGAAGAGGTGAAAAACGTATTATTGTCGATCAGCAATGACAAGCCACCGGGGTCTGACAACTGGGATGGAAAATTACTGAGGATAATAGCGGACGATATTGCCACTCCTATTCGCCATATCTTCAATCTAAGCCCACTAGAAAATATGTGCCCACAGGCCTGGAGGGAAGCAAAAATTATTCCCCTACCTAAGAATAGTAAAGCCCCCTTTACTGGCTCAAATAGCCGACCAATCAGCCTGTTACCAACCCTTAGAAAACTTTTGGAAAAAAATGGTGTTTGACCAGATACAATACTATTTCACAGTAAACAAATTGACAACAGACTTTCAGCACGCTTTTGGGAAGGACATTCATCAAGTACAGCACTTACACAAATGACTGATGATTGGCTGAGAGAAATTGATGATAAAAAGATTGTGGGGGCTGTTTTGTTAGACTTCAGTGCGGCTTTTGACATTATCGATCATAGTCTGCTGCTGGAAAAACGTATGCGTTATGGCTTTACACCCCCTGCTATATTGTGGATAAAGAGTTACCAGTCTAACAGAACACAGAGGGTGTTCTTTAATGGAAGCCTTTCCAACAAAATCCAGGTAGAATCAGGAATTCCCCAGGGCAGCTGTTTTCAATCTTTACTAACTACATGGCTTTGAGTAAAGCCAGTGTGTCTATGTATGCGGATGACTCAACACTATACACGTCAGCTACCACAGCGACTGAAATAACAAAGAGCTGCAGTCAGTTTCAGAATGGGTGGCAAGGAATAAGTTACTCCTAAATATTTCAAAAACTAAAAGCATTATATTTGGGACAAATCCTTCACTAAACCCTAAACCTCAACTAAATCTTGTAATGAATAATGTGGAAATTTAGCAAGTTGAGGAGACTAAACTGCTTGGAGTAACCCTGGATTGTAAACTGTCATGGTCAAAACATATTGATAGAACAGTAGCAAGGATGGGGAGAAGTCTGTCCATAATAAAGCGATGCTCTGAATTTTTAACAACACTATCAAAAAGGC